AATTAATATATCCACTCCCTACCCCAATCACCCCCAACCTCCCAAACCGAAATATCCATCAAACCCTAAGCACTATTCTCTCTCTCCGTATTCCCTCTTCTCTCTATCCCTCCATCGGCGCTGCTGGAAGAGAGCGACGTCGACTACGAGATTGACGCTGCCTTGACCTCTGCCCAGAGAGTGGGAGGCGATCTGACATCGTCGCTCACATGAAGGTAGGTCACGGTTTCAACAGTACACGGAGGAAGGTGGGTTGTTTTGACATGGTTGAATCTTTTTGTGGTTTTCGACGAAAGAGGAGCGCCATTGGGACCTCTGCCCAGTGATCAGACGTCGCCACTCGTGGAAAGGTAGGTAGCGGGCTTAGGGTGGTTTTTGTGATTGTTGGTTGGTGGTGGTTTCCAAATGGTGGTGATGGTGCTTGCGGTGATGACGACTGAGATGGGGGGTGGTAGTGTCGCAGCTGCAGTAATCTATTGAAATCTGACATGCAGAAGTCTCTATTTGTTTAGCAGCAGGAGACCTCTAAGCTTACCATGTAAATCTGAAAGTTCCATATGTAAATAACATACTGATCACCACATTCTAGGACGTGGTTTGAAATCCAGTTAGCGCGACAGTGAGGTGGGTGATGATGGTGGATCTGGTGGTTGCGTGGGTGTTGTTGGTGTAGTGGTGGCGGTGGACGGTCGTGGTGATGCTGTTAGAGACAGCGTTGACCGTCCACCACCACCACTACACCAACTGTTAACGGTGGTCATAGATTAGACTAGCTGTGACCGCATAATGGACTATGTGTGACCTTAAAATTCAACAATTTGTGACTAAAATTTTATCTGTGACTTGTATTTTTGGATCCGTAACCAATAAAATAATCTGCGATCCCGAAATAATCCGTAACCTCCACAAATTTTGAAATGTGGCCGATAAACAAATGGTGACCAATAAAATTTTTGAACTGTGATTTCGAAATAATTCGTGACCTATAAATTTTTTGATTTGTGACCTTGAACAAATTTGTGATCTAAAAAATTTTTGATTTGTGATCTCGAACAAATTTGTGATTTACAAAATTTTTAATTTGTGACCTCGAAATAATTTGTGATCTACAAAATTTTGATCTGTGATCGATAAACAAATTGTGACCTATAAAATTTTTGAGCTGTGACCGTAAAATAAATTGTGACATAAAAAATTATGATTTGTGACCGAAACATAATATGTGACTAACTAAATTGTGAATTTGTGACCATATTATATAAATCTGTGACGGTCGCCGAAATAGTCGCCGAACCAGTCCCGGAGAAGAGTGGATATAATTATATTATATTAGAATTAAATATTTAATAAATTTATTTAATAATTTATTAATTCGTAAATTAAAATTAAAAAAAAAATTTAATTTTTGAAATTTGAAATTTGTTTTCTTATTTTTGAAATGGCACATACTTAACATCTTAAAAATAAATTTTTCCCATATTTGAATCTCTCACCAACACCCATTCTGCAATTAATCTGTCGATCTGTGACGAGAACAAGACGAATAGACGAAGTCAGTGCATAGCCATTTATAAGCCTCTCACTCTCGTCTCTCTAAGCCTCCTGATGCCGCCTTCCTTTTGTCGACACCATTACCAACAGTGCAGCATCAATAGCTTTTTGGAAGAAGAAGGCGTGAACTACTTACCACTGAACTGTAAACCGGTGAAGCCATAAAGAAGAAGAATTCGATTTGATCATTGATCAACGATTCAGCAGTCGGCAGAAGAAGGTGAAGCCCAAAAGCCCTCTTGTTTCTCTTTTCTTTTTATTTGTTATTTTGATTTGATTTGGACCTAAAATCAAGATGAGTGACGAATTAATCTTTTATTGAATCTTGTGTATGATTTAAAATCATGTATCAATTTTGTGATTCTTATGAAATTCATTTGCAGCCAGAACTTAGGAGAATGTGATGTTGAACAAATGCCTTATTTAGAGGCTGCCTTTTGTATTGATAAAAATAGTGGCTAGCCCAAATGGATGTACCGCTTTATTTTATCATTTGTGATGGTCGTGAGAAAGTGGTTTCACATCTATGTGAAAATATTTATTTATAAACTATGTCATTTTTAATATTGTGATTATATTGTTTTATATTCTTAAAATCGATAAATTCATGACCAAAAAGTCAAAGTTCGACATCGATTAAATTGTGCTCGTACTGAATGAATTTTTTGGCTCTATCCCTGATGAAGTAGACATCATTGAAGCAGCTCTTTGTATCTCTCCAAGCCTCACAATAGCACTTTGAATAATATTGAGTAAATATAGTAATTTCATCCCTCAACTTGGCAATCATCTTTGACCAGAAAAAAATGTTCAAGAACTTGTGTGCCAAACTGTTCTACGTAGTGATGGTGTTAGGTGGGTATGTGTATGGGAATGACCTCAGATGGATTGCTTCAGTGGAAATGTCTGGGTATTAAATAGACCAGATCATATCCAAAGACTTCAAAGTATGGGTGTTTGGATTGTTATGCGGTTTTCTCAAAGATTGCAATACATTTTGGAACATGTTTGTCGCGTCCGTCCTGAAATGAAAGTTCGCTTGCTTGAATGCTATGTCCAATTGTTTCTCAAATCAAATAGAGCAAGATCATTGTGCCTCAAACTTTTCATACAATAGAGAAGAAAAAATTTAATTTTGACAGTAAAGATTTAAAATTAAAAGAAAGTAGTAAAAAATCATAGTCCCCGACAACGGCCAAATTTTTATCGCTAAAATTCGACAAGTGTACAATATCACATTCAAGTAATAAAGAGTGAATGAAACCCCTTCGGGGATGGCCAAGTTGGTGGAGCAGGTGAACACGGAGTTCAAAGGTTACGAGTTAGTGCGATTTACCTCTCCTGTGTGGTTTGCGAGTTACTGCACATGGAGCGGGGTTTACCTAGTGCGCACTCACCGTGATCGGACCTCGGGTGGTCGAGGTTTCATTGGCGAGTAGCAACTGCAGGTTTCTACGTCAACAAAAAAATAAAAAAAAAGAGTGAGTGAAGTATCGTTCCCACAAGGACCAAGTAATTAATCTAGTTCTAGTTAATCATAACTTTAATTGAATGGCAATATGTAAGTGATTGACTTTTAGAACTAATTAACTAAAAACTTAACTAATGAGTAACTAAGAAGAGTTTATAAAGTCGATTAAAGACGAGCATTAGGACATCAACTCCCCCATTATTAATACATTCTAATAAAATTCAAGACAATGACAATGCTTGTTTAATCTTGAAGATCAATGCACCAATTTTATTTAGTAATCTATCTCGAGTAATGTTAAAAATATCATCGCATGTGATATTCTTATATCTCTACAAAAGATGAGCACATGAAAAGATGCATTAAATTACTTGACATTCAATTAAATCATGTAAGGCAGCATATCTCCATTCTCTATCCGATTGATCTCACGTGCTAAATTTCTTATTATTTCTCTCAAATAAAATAAAGTTTCATTTTGATTCAATTTGTAAATAATTAATTGAAAGCAATAAAAATTATAACAAGCATTCATAACAAATGATTTATCTACATCCTAGTGACTAAAAGTTAATTCGAGCATTATGAAATTACAAGAATAAATGTTTGAATGATAAATCATCAACCTGAAATTAGTTATAGAAAGAAAAGAGAAAAGTCTTGATTCATTGAATCTCTTCAATTCTTGGTGACAATTTTCTTTTGTGCCTTCTTCTTCTTCGCTAAATTCCAAGAAACGTTCAATCTTCTTATAAGAACGAAAAATTCTTATTTCTTGTCTCTAGTTCTCTCTCTCTCATGCTAGTACCAGAAATTAGGCATCCAAGTAGGTTAAAAACGAGGAAAAATTACATTTCACATTCCATAAAGAGTTGAGGTCGAAAAGGGAAACATAATATTTTCTATCGCATTGTATCATGCACTTGTATGGTTATAGTTGTTGCGATCGCATTGCTAAGTAGAATTTGCTACTGTAACCTGCCGAAGCAACCTTGTGGATCACATGGTTTTACATCTTGCAATTGCAAGGTGTTAACTTCTATACATTTTTACTTTGGTCCCTTGTTTCTTCCTCTTTTGTACTTTTCATGAGTCTTTCAGCTTTCAATTTCATCCTATTTGATCCACGTGTTTCTTCAATTATCAATCATTGGTCTGAATCAAATTTAGATGATTTGCATATTGGTCCCCAAACTTTTACAATTCTTCCTCTTTAGCCTTTTTGGTTGATTTTCACTTATTTTCATCAATAGTTATCCACATGGCATTTAACCTATAATAAACGATGTTTAAACAAATTAAATAATAATTCCATCAAATTGACTCTCAAACATGCACTTTTAACGTCCGAATAAGTGAAATAATCTCACTTATCATGGTTTATAATAATAGGAAAAAAAAGTATTTAGAGAACAAAATTATTAGACAGAAAGAGAGAGAGAAAAAAAACGACGATAGTAGGTTGAATGAATCGACCAGACCTAGACTCGTATATTTCAGTGGTCATGAGTCAGTTTGATTCACATTTTTTGAAAGACGGTCTGGGGCCGTGCTACTATATGGGCGATTCAGACTCGAAAGGGGCCTGGACTAGGCTAAGATGTTGGCATATCGGTTCAAATCAGTCCATACATTTTGACACCACAAACCTCAATTCCCAACAGGAAAATGTATTTTGTTTCTCAGTTTCGCCAACAAACAAAATCTAGACATCTTCCAAGTATTCTTGGTGTAAGTTTGAATAATATGTAACTGGACACAGCTTTCAAAATCTTCACCCAAGAAAATCAAAGCATTAATTGTTACAAATTTCAAGTTAAAAGATAAGGTTGATCAAGGCTATTCAAATAAGAAATTCTTGACAATGTTGTTGAACTTTGCTGCATATTCAAGTTGAGGAACATGTGAAGTGTTCTTTATGACTTGTAATTTCGCCTTCTTCCCTAGCAATCTGCGAAGCCAAACAAAAATAAAAAAATACCAATATTAATCACTTGTTTTATAACAAGTTTGTGTAGTTATGTATGAAATACGTACTTCTTGAGTTCATGAGCTTTTTCTAATAGGAATATCTTGTCTTGTTCTCCCCACACAATCAACGATTCCTGCAAATTGATCAGATTTACCAAGAACAAAACTAAAGAAAATGATAGGCCTGCATTTAAGATGTACCTGTGGAAGAGGAGATATGTTTACTGTGTCATCTCGTCCCAGACTTAGTCCTTTCAAGAGTTCCAGCTTCTCCTTTCTGTTATCAGAATACCATTTCTGCCCATTTGCAATCACTCATTAACATTATTTTAAAATAGTTTCATTAATTTCTTGAGTGATGCCATTAGAATTAAACATCTATTATGACTTTTAGGTGAAGTTGGTGACGACTCTGGTGGCAGTTAATAGGAAGTGTCAAAGGAAAAGTCAGATTCAGTGTCCGCTCCACTTTCTTCCCAACAACCAATTAATATTTTCATTTAATGACTTCATGAAATTTCAACTCACAACATTGTTTTTGAGAAGGTTTATTACTTTTAAATAAAAACAAAATTTTATTCATCTCTATTTGAATACATTAATCATTACACAAACATCAATCTTTTGATTGGGAAGGATTTATCAGTGAGAAAATGCAATTTTATGCTAATTAAATTTATGGTTTTGAGGTAAAAATGAAGAATGTAGAATCATCAATAATTAGAAAAACTTACATCAATGAAGTCATTTAATAAGAAATCGGGCAAGTAGGTACGCCGGAAAACAGAAAGGCCCATCAACGTCCGAAGCTGACCGGCGGTCGCGGGCAGCATCAACTCGTCAATCTTCTCAACCTTGGCTCTTTTTAACAACTCATCGTTATCCCTCCGCCGCAAGTTCACCCCGGAACTGGCGATCACCACCTTCTCCACCCTCTCCGGCCACTTCGCCGCCATGTGGTAAGCCACGAAGCCGCCGTAACTCGTTCCAACAACAGAGTACTTCTGAATCCCCAATTTTTCGAGAAGCTTCGTTACACAAATCGCCTGGAAAACTTCTGACCTATCGGAGGATTTTGTATAAGATTCACCGAAGAACAATAGATCGGGCACATATAGGTCGAATTTGCCGGAGAAAAACACGATTTGTGGACGCCATTGCCATATGCCGTGTGGACCAAATCCTTGAATCAGGATCAATGGAGGTTTAGAATTGGTTGTGGAGGAATTAGTGCGGTTGGGACCCCAGAAGTGCATGGAGGTGTCGCTGTCAATGTCTATTGTTTGAGAAGACATGCCGGCGCTGGCGAGACAGCGGCGGAGGTAGCTGCCATACAAAGAGACAAGGCTGAGACAGGACGCTGCCATTGTAATTGTATCTGTACCACGGAGGAGGGAGCGAGGGAGGGAAGATAACAGAAACGGGGATAAAAGATGTGGCTTCAGGTTTCCTTTTGACAGGTTTAATACTCGTGGTCACTCAACTTTTCATAGAATTTCACTTTAGTCACAGAAGTTCATTTTATATCAATATAGTCACTAAACATAAAATATATTTCAAGTTATTCACTCCGTCTATGTATGTTAATTTGATAAACGGAAAAATTCATGTGACTATGTAGTTGTTTGTCAACTAACTTGCAGTTACCCCCATCACCTTTTTCATTATTCAAATTAGCAACTACATATAGATGGAACCAATCTCCAGTCCATAGTGGATAAGATAAAAACTTCTCAAACGAATGTGATGAGAAAACCTTATTTATGATTTTTTGAGTCTAAGAGAACCACAAGTAAAGTTCTCTTGACGCTTCAACATTACAAAGTTTTTATAATACCCACTATAGAATCAAACTAATTGTAATTGCTGTACAAGTTTGTAACTAACAAGAAAAGAAGCTTTATTTATTGAATGACTAACTTCATACAAAATAAAATTGACAAGACGCGAAATTTCATTAAAATTTGTAGTTAAGATATGCTATCTTATTTTTGTTGTTCTTTTAACAAAACCTTTTACTATATATCCAAAATTTTGACAATTCAAAACTTGAACGAAGTGTTTTCAAACTATTTTTCTTTCGACCTCTAGGAATGTGTGAGATGATATTGTTGTCATTTTCGACATAAATTGCGCATGGTACACGTAATAAATGGGTTGGTTTTGTTGTTGGCAATGGTGCCTTTGCAGCGACCAATGGGCAACCTCGTCACCAATAAACGAACAGGTTCATGTAGAGCAGGTGCTTCTTGGTATGACTTCCCCAAAAATAGTTGAGAATCAAACCACTCAAATTCTAACCTACCAAGATGGTCATTACTTAAATCGCCAAATGTACATTCCCATTTAACATACTAAATACAACAGTAAATAATTAAGTGTGCAACACTATGACATGGACCGAACATTGCATAAATGTTGAGGATGATGAATAAGTTTGGGTATACGTATAGACAATAAATAGCTCCATAATTAATAGGTGATAAAAGTTGTTGTTTACATTCACAAATTAAGAAACGTAGATGTTGATACCAATATACCATTCAGTGACCTCATATACAATACCGTGATACCAAATATAACGATAATACATTGCACAATAAAGTTTCTCTTTTGTCGCGTTGATTACTCTTCACACTATTCCTAAATGCTCAATTAAATACTACTTTAATTGTTTAAGGTACTCTTAAAGTAGTATTTGTCACTTTAAATATAGATAATATTTTTTTGAGAAGGTATTGTTGACCTCAAAATATAGATAATATTTTTTTGGAGATAACGACGTACTTTTTCCTCTTGATTTCAGGTTTTCCCTCTTTTTGCGGATTTTTATTGTTTTAAAGCCAATTGCTATTATAAGACATGAATATTTCGACATTCTTTCTACATGAGATATTTTTCTCGACCAGAGATATTATTTCAATCCCATGAGGTTCGACCCCATATATTTTCAATCCAATGCATTTCGGAGTCCTTTTCTGTTTTATGCAATGGTCTATTAATAGTTGATTAAAGAGAACATTTTAGTCATTTTTTACTGATGCCTAACTCTGATTCAGATGATGATGATATATTTATGCAACAGTTGGAAAAGGACATTCAAACGTGGCTACAGTATTGTCACATATTAGAGCGTATGATTCGTCATTACATGCAAAATTTGATGGGATTTACGAATTTATTCTCTACAACACATAGCGGTCACATATTCATGCTCCAAAACATGCATGTCTATCCTCAAACGTGCTTCCAAGAATTTTGAATATATCCTCCCTTGTTTACTCATTTTGTGCACATTCTTCGAAACAGGTTTTGTTTACGAAGCAATATAAATATCAACACCTACGAACAAGTCAGTATATTTTTGTGTGTACTTGCTCAAAGCAACGGCAATTGACGGGTATAAACACACTTCGACATTCTTTATAGATAATTAGAAATTGCTTAAAGACATTGGTTCATGTTGTGGTAAAACATGCTTGGCATAAGATAAAATCGAATCTAGATCGGATAATTACCATCCATACCCTAAGCAATTTCCCATTTTCAGGTTGACAAAAGTAATTTACTTTGGAACGGTATTTTGTACTCATTCTTTATGGTAGTTAAAATTTTCGTAAAAGATTTATTAAAATTTTAATGCACACATGATTGTATTGGAGCCAATGACGGAACACGTGTTAGAGTCGTGCTACCGTGCCACCAACGAGAGCACTTCTTAGGACGAAAAGGAATTTCAACACAAAACGTACTTGCAGCATGCGATTTCAATTTATGCTTATCATTCGTTCTCCCAAGAATGACATGGAGTCGTATTTTGGCAAATGCAATACATAGTCTAGCTATTAATTTTTAGGAGCCGTGAGTGGCAAATATTATCTAATAGACTCAGCTTTTATACATAGACCAGGATATATGATCCCTTATAAAGGCTCGAACATCCTATATCATTTTTAAGAGTTTTCACAACGAGACAAATTGTTGTAGGCATAGATTTTTGAATGCACGAGAATAATTCAACTTTTAACACTCCTTGTGTCGAAACGTCATCGAGAGGGCATTTAGAGTATGGAAGCAGATATTAAAAAAATAATTCTTCATTGAATTTGAAATTACTCATTCAGGACTCAAACAACTATTGTTATAACGACAATGATAGTTCATAATTTCCTAAGAAGAAATGGACAACTTGGTGAAGCTTTCAGTAGCATGGAAGAGTCAAACGACGAAGAAGAGGAGATAGATGTGCCAAATGAAAAAGATGAAATTGCAATTGAGTTAGAAGCGATTATCGAGGAAGATATGTCATGGGAACAATTATGGGATTACATGACACATCAACTAAGGTAGGCCTTGTAAAGTCAAGACCACACACAATATGAGAAGTGAGAAACAAGAATAATTGAATCAACTGAAAATAAACTGCAGAAAATTAAAATGAACACTAAAGAATTATTTTGGCCTTAGCCCCGGAGGTTCGGTGACCACTTATAACACCTACATTCCCCGTTGAGTATCCAAGAAAAGGATTATGCTCAGTTGCACTAAAACATCCCAAAATGGCAACGAAAGTTACAAATGTTCAAAGAAATGAAGCAAGAGACTTACTCTCAAAATACAGCGATAGATCTACAAAAGATTCACTAAGAATTTCCAAATAACCCTTCGAACAACACCAGAAAACCACAACAGAGAAATCACACAGATCCTCACAACATTCACTCAAAATATTACAAAACGAAGGTTACTCTATCACACACAACACTTAAAATCTTTGATTTTAAGTTAATCAAAACAAAAGCAGAAAACCCTAGCCTATTTCCTCTTTCTCTCTCTCTAACACGCAGGAGCCCCAGAAGTCTCCAGAAGACAAAACGAACCGTTTGAAAACCCAAGAGCCATCAAGCCCAAGTAAATAATCCAATTTCCATCCAACGGTCAAAAAAGCGTGTTTTACAAACACGTTTTTCCCACAAAATGCTGGGAGCATCAATAAGAGAGAACCAGGGTTCAATTCCAACATTCTCCAGCTTACTACCAGATTTTAGACTGTCAGCGCATCCAGGAGTTTTCATTTTCATTTGCTCTATGTACCTATATTAAGAATCACAAAGAATCAATAGAAATACATTTAAGGCAGTTTAAAAACTTATTTAAGGGAATCACTTTAGTACCCATATTAGATGGATTATACTGAGTTGCAATCTTTTCAATTTATATTATTCCCTTAGAAATAACATCTCTAATGAAGTGATATTTAACATCAGTGTGCTTAATTCATAAAACATGGGATTCTTAATAAGGTGAATAGCACTTTGATTATTAGAAAACAAAACATCTTGTGCATCAACAAATCCAAGTTCAGACAGCAAGCCAGTTAACCACATTCCTTCTTTTATAGCATCAATGGTAGATATATATTCAGCTTCAGTACATGATAATGTAACAATCTTTTGTGTTTGAGACTTCCAGCTAATGACAGTACCATGTAAGGCATAAAAATAGGATGAAGTTGACTTCCTATTATATCTATCACCAGCAAAGTTTGAATCAGTGTATCCCTTTAACATAACACCATCTTTATTAGATTTAAACACTAAGCCAAAATCAACAGTAACCTTTATGTACCTTAATAACCATTTTAAGGCATTCCAATTATCTTCTCCAGGATTACTCATAAATTTGCTTAATATACTAATGCTATGTACAAGATCAGGCCTAGTATAGATCATTAAGTACATAACAGATGCATAAGGAATCCTGGACATCCTAACATATTCATCTTCAGTTTAAGACATCAGTCTGAAGATAATTTGTAATGATTAGCAAGAGGTAAGGATACAGGTTTGCATTTATACATGTTGAATTTTTTCATAATTTTAATTACATAATCACGTTGGTTTAGAAACAGCGAGTCCTTCTCTTTACCTTACAATTTGCATACCAAAGATCTTCTTGGCAGAGCCAAGATCTTTCATATCAAACTCAGTTTTCAACTTTAGTTTAATGTTTTCAATTTCAGCTTTATTGCAACTAGCAAGCAGCATATCACCCACACAAAGGACCAGATATAAAGAATTTTTACCTCCACTACCTTTGCAGTACAAGAAAGTATTATATTGACTTCTTTGAAGCCCAATTTTAGTACAAATGTGTCAAACTTTTTGTACCACTGCCTAGGGGCTTGCTTTAAACCATACAAAGATTTCTTTAACAAAGACTGTATTTTCAGAGTTACCTTTCTCAAAACCAACAGGCTGTCTCATGGAAATGATTTCATCAAGTTCACCATACAAGATCAGAGTTATCTTTCTCATAACCAACAGGCTGTCTCATTTATATAATATCATCAAGTTCACCATACAAG